TAGTTTGTACTTGAAGGATTTTTTTTTCTGATCCAGTGTTTGTTTTGTCCATTCTGGGCTACCGTAGAAATAGGGCAGTTCAACATGGTGAACTCCATGGAAGAGGCTCCACTACCTCTGTATAACAATTGTTATTTCCAGGTGATTATACACTCATACAAAACATACCTAATGAAGGTATGTTCAATCAGGAAGACCTTCTTTTGTTCATTCATAAAAATCTTCTCTCTCGTTTCCCCTCTCTCTCCTCTTCAGCTGACTATTGACGGTTACCCTTTAGTTAACCAATCAGATTTAACCTCATTTTCCACAAGCCAATCACATCATCGTCATACTTTGAATCTGTTCTCCTCCCTGTCGCAGTTCTCTTCCATTTCAGTGCAAATTGCAGCAATCTCTTCTTCCCCCCACTCACCTCCTCTTCATCATATCAGCACCCACGCTAAGCTAATCAAAGCCACTCCTCAACATATCAGTCTTCAGTCTTCAGTCACTCCCTCCTTCATCACCACCACCAGTGTCTAGACTCCATTGGGGGTCTCCTATACTATTCACTGCTACACCCCCCCTTTCAAATTACATTGCTATAATGGTCTTGTGAGAGACTGCATGTTCTCCCAATTAACTTCCCTTGACCAAGACACTAACTTAGATCTGGAGTTGTATACATCCGCTGCCCACTGCTCCTATAAGATTGATTAAATGCAGAGGACAAATGTCACTATACATTCTATTGTGTGTGGTTGTATTAGGCAATATTGATAGCCAATGATTCAAGTTTCAAGTTTCTGTTGAGTTGTAGTCATATAAAATATCAGTCTACTGGTGGAATTTATATTACTATCACGCCTGTATTTTATGAGAGAGAAAGTCCATTGGGACAATAAAGGATTTGCTCTGACAAGGTTTGTCATTTGGCAGCCAGAAATTAAAGTGACTGACCACTAGGGGCAGAAAAGGACTACTTTTAGATATTGTGGAAAACACTACCCTTTCAGAGTCCTGTAGGATCAATTCTGGGTGTACTGAAATACAGAGATCATTCCATATACAAACTATTACAGTCTCAATCCTCTCAACAATCTATAGTACTGGGGTCTGTCTAAGTGTAGTGAAATTGTTACAGAGCCTCCATACCATTTTAGTGAGGAAGTATGTATGTACGGTAGGTGGATGGAGGGGTCAACAAGGTGTCAAGACTTTGACACAGGAGGCGACTTTTTATTTCCCATTTCCTACCAACTAAGAGACCGATGATCGTTCCCTAAATCAGCCATGATGAAAAATATTTAGTTTGCTATTTAGTTTTGGGAACTTCAGAATTGTGAAAAACCTTATTATGGACAGTGGATTCAGAAGAACAAGCCACGCAGTCTTTTACAAACGTTTCAACTCTTTAAAATATATATAAATATAGTATTGTCATTCAAATGTAGTTTTTTAATTATTTCTGATCTATTTCCTTCTTTATTTCATTCATTTAGATTGAGGGATATCAGGTTTTGTGTTTGCAAAAGATAACCACATAATTTGGCCATATAACACTAAAAAACCAACAATATTTCAAAATAGACAAAGCTTGGCTTGCTGTCCTTTAAAGGCAGCCAGTGGTTCATGCCTTCATGTTTGTATATTCCATATATATGATATGGCTTAATATAATATATATATATATGCTATGGCTTTGAGGGGAAGTTAAGTGCGCCTGACACTAACGGCTCTAATGGTGGCCACCTTTTTATACTGTGAGAACTGCTGACATATACTTTTAAAGGTTGACTCACCTAGCTTTTATCTTTAAGCCACTCACACTTGTCCGCTCTTTGGGGATTAAACTAGTGAGCGTTTCCACCACAGTAGTTCTGCTCTCACACAGGACTATTCATAGATCAGCATTTGCGAACGTGCTGCCCTGCATCATTAAAAACAGGAAGAGGAGGTTCTACATCACACTGTATTTCAGTGCTGATGCCGTGACAGTCAGCAGCCCGAGAAACATGGACAGTTTCAGCTCTCTGCATCAGACTGGTGAGTACCCCAGACTTTCATATTCATTAATCTGTCTTTTTAGTCAGACAGATATCTATGCATTATATTTAAATAAACAGCTCTCTTTGTCTCTGGCAAGTGATGGATGTGTTTGTCATTGCTGGTTGCACAAGCTTTGATTACATTACCTTTGCCCTCAGAGAGCCCTGGTGAAGTTGGATATCATTTAATCAGCTGATCAGATAAAAATCTCTAACACTTGAGCTTGTCGGCCGGCGTTTGGCCACACGTGATATCCTCGATCATCTTTGCACTGTGTATACCTTACCAACAAATGAGTTAAAAAAAGAGATCCTCAAAACTATCAACAGTGTTTAGAGACTAAACAGACTAGATTATAACCGTAGTTTTATAAACACAAGTTTGTATATAACTTAAATTTGTAAGTATTAACATTTTGATGTATTTGTCTGTTTTTTGTCTTTTTGTTGAATTTCATTTGAACATCTTTTAATTTAATTTCTTTCTCAGATGCAGCGTTTCCTCGTATTTCTCCAGACAGACTGCAGTTCTTTGAATATGAGACTCTCACTATAAGTTGTGAAGAGTTTGGAGGCTTGAGTGAATGGAGAGTGATGAAGAAGCTCAAAATAACTCCAACAGAGTCTTACAACTGGAACTCATCAGCAGCCTCCTGCACCATTTATCCTACCTTTAAAAGACACAGTGGAGAATACTGGTGTGAAGATGCAGAGGGAAACACAAGTGATGTCCTCAACATCTCCATCACTGGTATGTTTAGCAAATAATAAATCAAGATTTTTTTAGGTTTGTTTGATGCAGTGACACAGTTAGCTTAACTTGCTGGAAGACGTCTATAGTTCAACAACAGAACAGCCATGACCGACTCAAACTGCACTACTGATCTGGCAGAAATTAGGCCAGTTGGACCCGGAAATTAGACATATCATGTTCAACATATATATATGTTTATTTTTATCACATTTTTCAGATGGTTCTGTGATCCTGGACGTTCCTGCCCGTCCTGTGGTGGCGGGATATGATGTGATTCTGCACTGCAGGAAAGAGAAAACTCAAGCAAATCACATTGCAGATTTCTACAAAAATGGGGTGTTTCCAAGTTGGGGACTGGTTATCGAAAAAAAACATAACAATGAAAAAACCATCACAAATGTTTTTTCCAGAAATTGGATGAAGATGGTTAACAAGTGCCAAAGCAATCGTCTTGGAGCTGAAGAATCACCAGAAACGTTTTGGCTGTCTGTTTTAAATCAAAGTAAAACAGCTTACGAAGAGACTCGTCTTTCTGACAGTGACTCTCTTAATCTTTCCTCCCTGCTGTGGATTGTAAGCAGTGTTTTATTGGTGGCTCTGGTGCTGTTGGTGGTGGGACTACTTCTCTGCAGGAAACACAGAGGTACAGCAACACTGCCACAATAGAAATTACATTTACATAGTATTTGTTGAGTGTTCTGTTGATCATGTCGTTGTGGAAAATGTAAACTCTGGCTGACTTACATCCATAAGCAATGTTTGTGCCCTGAAGTCTATGTGTATGGTTGGATTTAGGCAGAAAAAGTGGTTTTGTTTAAATGGTAAATAATAGATTTAAAAGAAGTGTTTGAGTACCTAAACATAACCATAAGTATAAGTATATCGGATATTTTGGTGGAAAACCAAATATGTTGTCCGTGAATTCCGTCCCTGATTTTATTGAAATCATAAGTCTTTTACTCGCTATGTTAATTAACTTCCTCACAGTAATAGAACACATAATTACCACATTACATTTCCTTCAAAACACATTTGCTTGTTTGCAAATTAGTATAATATGAATATAATTTCTTGGAGACAGGGTTGAATACAGATAATAACCCATCAGTAAATGAATTCATGATGTGTGCTTCCAAACCTCCTCTGCTCTTCATCCTGTATTATCTTCAGTGTTGCTTCTAAAGCCACCAGCACAAGTTCCTCTTCTTTTTTTATTTTTATGATATGACTGATTCTTTCTCTCCAGTATTGGGCTTTTGTTCGTGTGGAAAACAAACACCAAGATCACAGCCACATGAAGGTCATCCAGGTGAGAAACACCAACTACATACCATTGCACTGATATATTAATGTTATTATGCAAGTTATTCTAGGAATGTAGACTAATAATTAGCCATCCTTTTCCATGATCAGTACCCTTATTTGCAACTAGCCATTTACACTAGTTTTGCAAACTTGAAAACGACTCTATTGTATCTGCTTTTCTCTCAAACATGTGGCAAACTGTACAATGCATAGCTGGAGTTTTCTCTACCTCCAGCCAACTGAACTCAGCTCAGAGAGGAACATTTCGTTGGCTCACCCCCTGCAACATATGCAGTTGTCAAAAAACAATTATGACAGCTCGACAATGAAGAATGTAAACAACACGTGGCGAACTGTCTGATTTTAAATTTTTTTGTTTTAGTGTCAGCT